GCAGAGCCCCAGGCTGCAAAACGCCGCAATTCGGCGTGTGCGGGGCTTTCTCGAGCAGCGCTGCGGAGCCGGCCCCGCACGGCCAGCACACCGCTCGGCACCGCTGCCCCGGGGCAGGAAAGCACCTTGGTCCTCTGACAGCGCGTCACACGCAGGTTCATCCGCCTTGACGATGGGCAAGGCTGGGGCTGCTCACCGTCCCTCGGCCTTCGCGTCTGCTGCCGGTACTTGTTAAAGAACTCCTCGTGTCAATGTTCTCCCTAAGGTTAACATGCCCACTCCTAACGGCTCATTAACATCTGAATACACAGTCCTGGAAACAAGGTTACATCAAGTGACTGACAGCCAATGTGCCTTAAGTCCTTATCCCTCCTTGCTCTCATTTCTGAGGAAAATAAGTCATTAAGAGACTCTTGCCAGAAGTGATTAAGGTATGGTTTCATTAGATCTAGTTGAGGAAATTAAAAAAACAGGGCCAGAGCGCAACAGTATGACTTCAATGTCCTTGCTTCAATTTTAAGTGGCAAGTTTTTGACTTCTCAATGTTTATGACCTTTCCAGCTGGGAGACTACAGCTTAAAATCTTCAGCACTGAATCATCTCCAAATTTGAAGTCATGTCATCTTCAGCAGTATTGCTGATAGTCAGTTACACTTCAACATTGCCTTATTTCCCCTGCTCCCACACCTATCAAAAAACTGGATCTATAAAGTTGGCAACAAGGGACCTTAAAAGAGATAAGTGCACGACTTCAGACTAACCACCTTTTTTTCCCCCCTCCTACTAGCGACAACTGCACAACACCTACAGAAGTTTGCAGCTTGCCATTAGAAAGCATAGACACACGCCAGCCAACTTCAGATGTTACTCAAAGGACACTGTGCCATCCTGTAAGAAAAAAATAAACCTACCCAAGGATTCTAGTTCAAGGCATCTGATTACAGTCAACAATTGCTCTGAAACTGCTATGTTACAAAACTTGTATTTCTTCTGCTCTTGGGTTAGAAAAAGAAAACAGTAATGTACCTGTGGACACGCACAAGGAAGTTACAGGAAAGACCTGTAAGGCTTTCTGAAGCTCAGTACTAAAATAGTTTCTCTGTATCCAGCAAAGAAAAGAGGGAACGTCCTTCTTCTCATGCCAAGGTTTAATTCTGATGTATGTGACACTGGGTTTACAAAGGTAAATTGAAAATACATTCTGAGAAACAGTGAGCCTCCTACTTAACAAGGCCGAGGGATTCCACTCTCCAAGCAACTGAGAAAAGAAACCACTCACAGTAAGAGGGGGAAAAAACAAAAAGTATCTGGAGTCTGCCTTTGACTCACGCTTTTGACACAACAGGTGATGAGGACACATGCAGTAGCGGGGCAGAAGAAAGACAAATACTTAAGTAATAAAGATGAGACACAACAACAGGTATTAGATAAGGCTTCCACTTGAGCTAATTCTTTGGAGACATTATGACCAGCAGTTAGATGCAACGACTGCTCCGAACAGTGCTCAGGACACTGCCAAAAAGGATGATGCAGCTGTAGAGTAAGACTTCCACTCCAGCCTGCTGGTGATATGGCTAAAGTTTGCATATGCTTGTAACAAACACATATAAATGAAAACCCAGTAGAAAAGGTCTTGAAGTAGTACAGATGCATTTTTCACATCAACCATCCCTGATACCAGGAGCAAAGGCTGTCACCTGGAGTACAGCACACACAGCAGTTTATACAAGTGTATAACCTACAGTTAATCTGCAACAGTCATCCTGAACATCGATTTAAACGGCCAAGTATGAATCATCATCAGGCAGATTTCATGACTCACTGCTCCTACGGATCTAATGCTAGTGCTGATCCTGCTGGCCATTAAAAAGTCTGGCATGCCCTCTTGGATCCACTCCTCCGGAGGATCTGTGCCAGACAGCTGAGCTAAAAAACAGTTAAATGAGATTCTAAGCATTAAACAAATAAATGTGCTATTTTGTCACACAAGGGATAAAATTCCAGGAATTTATTGCTGTATGTATGCTTAATCCACTAATTCATCTTACAGAAGTCATGAAGTGCCAAATCGTGTGCTACATTGAACATTTCTTGTATTCCCTTCCAAATGCCATTTTACAGTGGGTGTATGGAACAACGCAGCAGCAGCAGTCACAAAACATGGCTTGAGCATCTCTCAAGAGCTTAAAAATAAAGATTCGTGTACAAGCTGAATAACGAGATGTCAGTTAACAGGTCACTCAGCAACTTTAATAGAAATATCTTTAGGTGGACGTTTTGCAGTGTTAAAATTTACAACTCAGACGAAACATTCTCATCCCCACTGTAGTAACAAGATACTTGCAAAGAACAAGGACTATGGTACGTAGATGTCACACGCAAGATCTGCTTCATTTCTATCAGAAGCAAAAACTGCTAATTATAAGCAAGGACAGGCCGAGCAGGCTAAGGCTGTCGAGCCTATATTAAAAGCATATACCTCCGAGTTTGGCAGTGGAATTCTATTTACCATCTTGACTTTTTTTTTTTTTTGGTTACATACAAGTACTCTTCCTCCCTTCCCACCACATGTACTTTATAAACCCCCCTTTATTTTTATTTTACCTCCATATTATTTACAGGACTCCTAAAGATTAAGTACAAACTAGTATGAAATTAATGATAGCTTGCTCTTCAAATATGTACCCCATGGCTAAATAAATACCAAGCCAATCCAACAGAGTGACCTGGAGTTATGATTCAGAAGCTTGTGTATCTGGGACTCCAGATGTTTTCTCATTAACTGTACAGGATTCACTTGATTTGTCAACAACAGTTGCCTTAGAGGTTGGGGCAGCGCTATCCAAGGAGAGTGTAGGGGTCTGTTCTACATTGACAGTAGGGCCGGGGTCGACGGAAAAGCTTCCAGCTTGAGTAATGGAGGGAAGCAAATCTGTAGGCACTGTAGATGCCTCTGTGACCAAAGGAAGCAGAGGAACACAATTGGGGGGCACTGACATAGGTGTTATTCCCATTAGATTCAGAGGTGGCAAGGAGGGAAGGGGTGGCAAACCTAAGGAGAGAAAGAAAAAAAAAAAAGAGAAAAAACAAGCAGTGAGCTGCTGTGTACCACAGACTGATCTAGATAGATCCCCGGTTTGCTTAAGATTTTTACCTCCTCCGATCTCCTGTTTGCTCTTGGAAAGGAAGAAGCTTTATAAACGTAATGTGAGCACACTGACTCAGCAGGCTAGTTACGAGCCTGATACTTTTTAGATTTCAGCATTCAAGAATCAGAATAAGCTTAAGTTTGCTTCTGCCTCCTCAGAGGATTAGATATTTGATGCATTAATACTGACTATTAGATTTTTCTGGCATTCACAGAAACTGCCAGAAACAAAAAGTTAACAAGAATCTTATTCCACATAAGTTTCCAGTATCTTTTCACTTGATCCATATGCATCTTCAGCAGGTCTACTCGAAACCATAAATCTAGTACTGGTTTGTTACTCTAGCATTCAGTCAGGGTGCTTCAATCTCCTCATCTAACATACAAGGAAACACATCATATTTTCTTCTACCCATAGAACTATATACATCCACACTTGGCACAATCTCTTTTGAGATCATAAATCAGGTGATAAAACAACAAGATGAAATAACTCGATATGGACATAGGTTCAGAATTAGTTTATCTAAAGACATACTCCTTGTCTACTTAATCTGGGCACTACTGGCAACTCCTATCTCAGGCAAACACTGAATTTATCTGCTTCATGAGTCCACCAGATGGCTTTAAACAAGAGCGTTACAGATCACCAAGGAGAGACCACTATTAGAGTGTTTCAGTTTGCAGAAGCACATACCAGGCTGTATGACTTCTGGAACAATGTGTGGTGCCGGTAAATTAAGTTTGGACAGTTCGGTCAGGTTGGGAAGCCCTGCTGGTAATGGCATCAGACCTAAGAGAAAAGTGAAAAAGTTACAAAATTGTTTTTTCTAACTGCTTCCAAAATCTTATTGATGCTTGAAAGTTATTTAATATTGTTTACATCTCGATTATTGCTTTTACTTAGAAGAATGAAAATTCACTTGAGTTTCAGCTTGCACAGTTGCACAGTCAAAACAGATACCTACTGCAAGAAGACTGGACTAGCAAATACAGAATCTCAACCTTTCTGATTTTTCTGAGGAAAGGAGAACCTTATTTCAATGAATTAAGTTTGCATTCCAAGCTCAGCTTTTAACAAATGCAGTTATTTCACTGCAGCACTGTACCAGAAGCCCTCCATTCTTAATTTGAATGCCAGAAAAGAACAACAGGATGAAATGCATAGTATTTCTGATCTGTAATATGGATTACTCTGTTATTAGTCTTTTCTACTTAGCTCTTAGAAATATACAGAAAAGGCAAGAAAAAGTAACTTTTAAAGTCAGAAGGGACTAAAAATAGAAGAGAAACAAACACATGATGAACACAACACACACCCTTCCATCCTTGTGTTTGTTATGAAACAGCTTTTCACTCCTGAATTTCCTGTCCTAGAAGAGCTGCATTCCTGGGAGAAGGGCTCTATTCCTACTTTGTGTTTAGCTCAGAGAAAGCCAGTTCTGAAATAAACTGTTGATACTACCACAATAAGACAAGAGGAAAGTCTTAAAGGAAGGCCACTGTGCACAGATTTTCATTAAAAACCAGTCATCTTTACATACTTGTGAATTAATCAGCCACAAAGGCTAACATAATCTACCTCAAAGAGCTTTCAGCTTAGCTACAAGCAAGCTTGATTTGAACTTTTACTGAGGTCTGAAAAAAGATGAACTTCACACAAGTTCACTCTTAATTTTAAAACTCCAATATATTTAATACTTAAAATTTCACTAGTATGGCTACTCAAATTGCAAGACATTCTAATAGCTTTCAAAAAAGCAATTAATTCAGAGAACAGGGTGAACGGAAAATTTATATTTGCAGATTTTAGGAAGGAGGTGGATAGGAGGCTGGGGAAAAAGAGGACACTAACAGAATCTGAACTTCTTAGTAGCTTGCTATTTTCTCTAAGCACTACAAGATTAAAGTTCTCTGCCCATGTTTCCATGCACTTAGCTCTGCTACACATTTTTTCTGTGTTGGAGAGCACACCTCCAAGCAGCACTGAAAACTTTTGGACACATCTTTACTTGTCTCATAGCATACAAAACATAAAAGACAACCCCTTCAGTGTTTTTGAGTACTGTACCAGTGTACCAATTACATGGCAAAATCCACATCTTACTGTGAATAATTTGGGAATAGTGCTTGAAACATTCATTACTATCAGAAAACACTGAACACTTTTTGTAATTGTTTTTACTTTGGTTGTAACAGTTTAAATTACTAAATAACTCAGAAACAGTAACAGACAGTTCTATATTGTCAGTCCTTTATTTATACCAGGAAGAATGATTAAGCTGAGTACTAAAAAGCAGTTTCCTACAATGGAGGCATTACGTGTGAAAGGGATGCAGAAATAGGCAACGTGCCTTCTCAGATCTTCTTTCATGATGTCCCAGAGCAAAGGACAAATCCGAAGCTGTGAGGTTATCAGCAAAAGTATTTTGCAAGGTACCATTTATGAACTACGGAAAGTAACCACATATCAACTCAAGAAATGTTGCAAATAGCAAAGCTAATACCTTCCTGGAGCCCTGAAAGGTAAATAACTGTAAACTTTGTTGCCAACTCAGACCTCTGTGCCACAGACACGGCATGCGTATACTCTGAAAAAAAATAATTCTTACCCACTTTAGAGGTTGCACAGAGACGAACACGAAACATGTAAGTTCCTCAAAAAAAGCAGTATGAAAGATGGCTCTCTTCCCTTGCTCCCTTATGATTTTCATTTCAGAAACATTTTAAGAAATTTAACCTACTCACCTGGTAACGTAGTTGCTGGGTTAACTGGTGGCACAGAGGTAAGGGACTGACTGACTTGCGGTGGTAATAATGGAACTGTTGGAACACCTGGTGGAGTGTACAGGGAAACAACATTAATTTTAAGCATACAACACTTTAGTTCCCTTCCTCATGGAGTACAAATAAATAATGGCTTATGGGAGAATTACTGTTTGTTTGCCTCAACAATGAAATGCTGATGAAGAAAACCAGTATTCTAAATTACACACATGACAGTTCTGATAGAAGTTATTTGCAATTATTTTGTGAGCAAGCAGGACACAGTTACAGTACTCTAGCCTTTGCTCTTGAAAAAATCCAAGGAAGACAAAAATTGATTCTCCCTTCTGTCTTCTATTAAACTGATAGAAACATCTGTGAATGCAAAGAAGTCAGAACACCCACACATTTCACAAGTCAGTTACTTCCACACTAACCTGTACTGAGAACGTTACTGACAGTAGTGGAGGGTGAACTAATAGAAAGTCCTGACAGACTCTGTTCCAGGCCTGCTGAGCCGGGGGGTAATGTGGCCGCAGGATTAACTGAGGACAGCTGAACCTTATTGAAAGGAAAAAAAGAAAATTGCAGCATTAGAATTTGTTTCAACAAGAACCAAGAGAAGCAGAAAAGCAACATAAAAAATCGTAATCCATTTTCACAAAGCCAAAGAAGAGAATACATCTTACCTCTGTAAAGCCATCTTTGAGGGGACTGAGAGATGTACCAGGCATCTGTCCCGGAAGAGAAATTTTCTTTCCCTCTTCAATTTGTTTCTAATTTGAAGAACCAAGAGAAGCAGAAAAGCAACATAAAAAAAAATCATAATCCATTTTCACAAAGCCAAAGAAGAGAATACATCTTACCTCTGTAAAGCCATCTTTGAGGGGACTGAGAGATGTACCAGGCATCTGTCCCGGAAGAGAAATTTTCTTTCCCTCTTCAAATGGGCGTGTAGGTATCCTATGCAAATATCCATAACCAATGCCACACCCTAGACTTTTGAAATATCAACATGTACAAGTCAGTGAAGTGACTTTACAACTACTGGCTCCACAGCAGGCAATGCATGAATGACTCGAGACACCAGCAAGTTTCAAGGTAAGTTCTGTGCAACTTTCTCCTGCACTCCCAAAAGTTGCCTCATTTTCTATGGAGAAATAATCACCACAAGATAACTGAAAAGAAATTCTGTGCGTTTTAGCAATAATCATTTAGCACAAAATAGATTTCATTGCTATTTAACCCAAGCAGCTGTATCCAGTATATAGCTTGGAATTCAACTCAGTTCTCTGTTCCAGATACTACTCGATACTTCAGGGGTATACTACAGCCTAATGACTGTTCAAAGCCTAGTGCAGAAAGCAACCACTGCATGCTGTGTATTTTTGCACTATCTATTTTGCTGTGTAAATACACCTCCTCATTAGTAACCAGATCTAAATTTCAGGTAAATATGTAATTTATTATAGCAGCAACACCTTTGCTATAACAATGATCTTTTCCTGTCTTTGCAGAAAACTTAAGCAATCAACTCTTGGGCTACCGCTATAAGAAAGTCGTCCTGTCCCCCTGTAACGTATGATCTCCTTACCTGCCTTCTCCACCCCAAGCAGAATTTGGAGTAATCACTACTTCCCGACAATTATCTGTATCTGTGTTGTACACGTAAAGTTTTAATGGCTTTGCTTCATGTGTTTCAATGAGGGAAAAGAGATCTTCAGACTGCAAAAGAATAAAAATTAATAAGAGCTACACGTTGCAGTTGCTGAGGTGCTGCTGTTTTATCACCAGGCCAACTTTAAACTCTGCTTCGTCAGCCAGCACAACTCAGAAGACATGTGGCACAAGCCAGATTCCAAATCTCCTATTTAAAATATTAATATTAGAGTATAAAAGAAATGTTTCTATCTGGCTTTGTGAAGATCTTTAAGAGTGTTTTTTTTATTTCCAGAATTGCATTCAAGCACAAAGAGGAAGGAGCACGCCAGAGCTCTTGCCTCTTCGCATTAACTTCTGTTAGCACTAAACAGAGACAGAACTGGGGATGTTTCAAACTGTCCTTGTACAAATACTTTTAAGTTCATTAAAAAAAGATGAAAATCTTATTTTTTATATACTTACCTCATTCATGACTGTATCTGCTCCAATGATATAGTCACTATGAGGTCTGAGTCCAGCTAAAGCAGCAGGAGAATTTGGTTCCACTTCCTAGATTTAGGATGGAAAGTTACAACACACTATGTAACTGTCAGGGTGTAGCAGAACAGCACTTCACACAAGTTTTGAGTCAGGCAGTCAAACTGCTCAACTTTTCAACACAATTAGTAGTCACTGAACTAGTGAAACAGTGGCTAGATGACAGTCTCTTTGCTACCAATACAAGGAGCTCCAAGTACTGCACAAAGCCACTGATATAAATACAAGATTTTATAATATAGTCCACAGACAAACAGCTCTAGTTCAAAACTCTTTCCAAACCCAAAAATTAATTAAGAGAAAAGAGATCATTTTGATCTCGAGGTTTGTGTACCCCCTTGCAAGTTAATTTTCAGGAAAAAGCTTAACAGTAAGCCGCAGTAAAAAAATGTACTCGTAAGTCCATACGTACCAAAACGTGCCACACATTTTCATTGGCCCCGTCAAAGCTGCAGAAACGAATGCTGACACCCAGCAGGCCCTGTCCACCCCACATGTTGCTGGGGGTCACTGATGTTTCTCTCAGTTCTAGTGTTTTGCTACTGTACACAAGCATTTTTACAGGTTTTTCAACATTTGCTTTCAACAGGTCCTTGAGAGTGTCATTGTCTTTATTCTGCAAATGTTCAAAGAGCTTGGGTTAGTGTTTAGCAGAAAAAGCATTCAGTCCTAGAGCACCACTTTTGTATTTCAAAGGTCCTATAAACACTTGGTATTATCAGAATATGTATCTACAGCTATTTTAAAACAAGCTTCCAGTACCTTCACAATTCTAGAACACAATTCTTGTGAAAACCTGGAATGTCACACTAACAGATCACATTTCCCAAACAGGAAAGCACTTGAATTAAACTCTGCAGCTTTTCAGAGGCTTTCTTGAATCCAGCCATAGTGGTGGAAGAGCTTACCCACAGCCGTTCTTCTCCACTGCTCCGATGGTTTGTTGTCTCACTACAGCTCTGCTGGAAAACATTCTCCCATGATTCTTGCCCAGACAAGAGCTTTGAGAGCAGCTTTTTCAATCAGTCTGTTCTGACTGAAATGAGTCTGCAAGTTCTCACACAAGCAGTTTTACAGACAGAACTAGGGTGGCACTAACAAAACCAGCCAGTGGTGGATCAGAAGGCAGCACTATCCTCTGCTAGAGCAGATGCCTGCAGAGAGCATGTCTGTTTGTCTGTCTGTCTGCAGCCTTATTCTCCACTTAAAGTTTTGATAGAACTAAAGGATGAAGGAAATTAATTTATGTTGCAGTTAGGCTTTCTTATTTTAGACTAAGTAAAAACATTTTATATACATTTAAATAAAATAAATGCATTGGTTAACCAATCAAAGAAGACTCTCAACACATAGTTTACATTTAGCGTTATGAAATAGCAACACACTCACCAATCTTGAACCATTAATGGACACAATAAAATCAAAGAATGGCTCCAATCCAGCTCTGTGCCCCGGTGAGTTTTCTTGTACCTAACAAAGTTAAACAAGAATTTAGCAAAAGTGCACCAATGCTGATTCACAGATTAGAATTAGATTTCTACTTGTGCAAAATGGAAACTATTGATGTTTGTATGTATGGTTTTTATATGTTCAAATATATGGGACCAAAAAGATCCCCCCCTTACAGAAAAAATAACAAAACCCCAAAACATTTAAAAAGAATCAGTAATTTATAAATTATTGAGGAATGACACAACAGAAGCCACTCCCTGGACAAGCACTGCCTAACAGCTGTAGCAGACAAAGTGCATACATTTATTCCAATAAAGAAGATTATGGTCAAAGGAAAAGCTTAACGAATTCCAGAAGAATTGGTTAAAAATCAGTATCTTTCCAGAGAAGTACCAACACTGGATCTCGCTTTTTATCTTACTCTTACACTAGAGGAAAAGGAGAGTCATGTCTGTGTAAGCACGGGTTGTTATCTCATGATTAAACATCACCTGTTGACATTTTTGAGATACAGAGGGCATCTGTACAAGCAATGAGTCATTAGCACACCAACAAGCTGCAAGAAAAGGGACTCGTGCAATTTTGCAGCCAGGGCAGCTCAGATAACTCAACCACTCCACCAGGACAAGGCCGAAGTACTGGATACACACTGCTCCCAGAAGCTTACAGTATGCTTGTAATTCCAAACGGAGTCACGGAGAGACATTTTGGCAGTGTTGCTTTTCCACTATTACATAGAATTAACTCAAACAAAGCTATCAGATTTTTCCTAACGGCCTTTGTGGCAAAGACTATCTTTCTTTATTTGTAAGCTGATTCATTTTACCCACTGGCTTTTTATGTGCTACATTCATCTTAAAAAAAAAAAAAGCGATGTGGTTTCTTACATTATGTGTTATTTCATCTGATAGAACTGGTACAAATCTGCTAGTTTGTTCAATACCTGTCTGATCCTGCAAGAATTAAGTTTTCTTAATATGACTTATCTAGAACAAAATATTCTCATATGAAAAAAAAAAAAAAGAGCTTGATTACTACTAAAACTGTCCTCTTAGAGTCTATTTATCACTGCCCAACACATTCACAGAATCAAGAATTATAGAATGGCCTAAGCTGGAAGGGACCTTAGAGATCATTTTAATCCAGCCTCCCTGCCGCCAGGGATGCCACCTGTCAATTACATCAAGGCAACACATGGGGACCGAATGGGAAGAGAGCTTGGATAAAATTCCCACTACTTGTGGGTAGCTTTCTGTAACAGATGCCAGAAGCTCAGAACATTAGTGTCACATAATCTAAACATTCTTTGAAGAAAAAATAATCCTCCACAAATCAAAAATTTAGTTTATAATAAAAGCCATAGAGAGGCTAAAATGCACCATACAAATGATTCTTCTTAAATGTAGAAAGCATTGACTTACTAAGTTGGGTACTCAAGGCCCACCTGCCAAAGAAAGCCTAAACAAACAGTTTCAAAAAAAGCAGAATTAAAGAACTTTGGTTTCCTATGGACATGCTCCATAATTACAAGAGAAACTTCAAGCCTGAGAATGTAATTAACTCATTCAAAACATCCCCTCCTCTGATGTGTTTTTTCTAGTAGCAAATGCAGGATGAGCTTGTGCTGTTTGCTACTCTTCCCTCAGTTTAGGGAGGTGATGTGAAAATACTTTAATAGCCTCTCTCTCTTGTTCCACACCTATTGCATGTGACGTATAAGAACCTCCACTTTGTGTTTTTAATGAGTCCGACATAAAGGCTTTTTATAGCAAAATGACATCAGCAGATGGTTTCAGAAGTCACCAGGAAAACAAGAATTTTGAAGACAGAACATGTCTTTCTAAACCTCGTCATTAAGAATGAGTAAATCCAGCAAACTGATATATTTATTCAGATAATACATCAGATCATTAGGACTGGATATATGTAATGGCCTTGAAATTATGAAAAGCCAGACTTTGTTCAGCAAGGTCCACTCTATATTCAGAGATCTTGTTCCATTTCCGCATGAACTTTGGAAAAAAAAAAAGTAAACCCTTAAACAAATAAAAAACTACAAATGACCAACAAAACCCCTACACCGTGACACAATATCCCTCCCCCGTGACCTCTGACAGATTACTACCTGAACGCTGTGAACCAGCACTGACCGGTGTGCAATAAGGTCACCCTTTAAAATGAGAAGGGGCCTCTACAATAAATGAGAATTACCTATGTTCAGCATTCATCAATGCCAAGCTCACTGACACCTGGGATGTACAGATTTGGTATTCCAAGTAAATTATTTATAGTCTGCCCAAAATTGATGACGAGACTGTGAGAGTTCTCAAGTTCTGAATGATTAGTTTACAGAAAGCATCTTCAGATGTTTAATACCTTCCCTCAAATCCATCACAATCTTGAACATCTCTGCATGATTTGTTTCTCAGTGGGCATGTAAAAGCTGCCAGGAAGCTGTATCTAAAAGAAATCAGGCCCTTATAGTTGAATCAGTCATACATGCACCTCAGAAGCATGTAGCTGCATCCTTTCTGTTACCACATTTCCTCATTCTGCCATGCACAGGTTCAGTCACAAAAAGCTTCCTATTTTCCTGGCTTGTTTGGGACTAACACCACTGATAGAAAAGCATTTTTATGCCTGGTAGTCCCAGAAATGCAAAACAGAAGTTCCAAGTTTATTCCATATGAAAAGTCTCCTCCTTAAAGAAGTGACAAACGCAGTCCTGCACAACAATCGCACTGACCCTGTACAGTTTTTAGGTCACACCCCCTTATTTTCAGTGAAGCACCTGCACAAGTCACCGAGCAGTGCCAGACGCCCAGCACAGCTCTCTGCTCAAAGCTCCGTGGCCATGGCTCTCTTCTGGGAGCTACAGCAACAAAGGATAACCGGGGATCTTTGGAAATACAAAGGTGCATTAGTGATGGAAATAAAGACTCCATATATATGTACATATACTCCAGGCCTCCTTAGCAATCTGGCTTTGTACAGCTTTCCTGTGTGTCCCAAGTAGATATTCAGTAACTTGCCTTTATAATTGAATAAGGACCAAGAAATAATCAAGTAATACCATTCACAACAGATGCCACTGCAGGCAAGATACCATTCACGGCAGCTTGGGAAGCCTAATTCTCTTCAAGCCAGCTGTTATTTCACATATAAGTTACTGACACCTGTGGGTAAATGCCATGACTCTCTAACAGAAGGGAAAAACAGCAGAACAGACTACCCGGAGAAGCTGTGCGGCTGCCACCACTAGGGCTTTTTAAGAGCAAGCAAAGAAAACCTCTGTCAAGAATGCTGAATGTCAGAAGGCAGAAAAGGGCTGTATGACTCTTCCAGTCTTGGACAATGCTGCAGGGCTTCAGCTTCCCTCCGAGATGACAGCATGCTGCTGAGCAGCACACAGATTACACATTAAGTATTTTCCTTTTAATTTACTGTCAAGAATTAAACAAGGAAAAGGTTTCACGGTCAAGATGCTAATTTTAATCCGCATGGCTAAAAAGACTTCTTTTTTGGTAAGTACATAAAGTTTCTCTTCGATGAACACCTTTCTCAATGCGATCCCTCTGCACCTACCCAGCATACATTGTGCGTTGCACCTTGTAGTAAGGCTTCTGACTAACACAACGGTCACAAACTGAAGTCCTGAGCAAGCAGTGATACTGTAAATGGAATCAGGAATAGAAACCTTGACTTTCAGAGGCAGACGAAATTTCCCACCACTTTTGAAAGTCAGGTAACTTGTACTAAGTGTCCCCTTGAGCTTTCAGCTGAGCTTCAAGCACTAAATACACAACTTTCAAGAAGCAGAAGCTCTGAAGCTTTTATTTTCCCCCATAAGAAATGCTTCTTAATATTTAATTTATTACCAATAAAATGCTGAAAGTTTTTTTTAGTTCTTCCATCCACTATGTAATTGGTAATAACAGGAATTGCTTATACTCGATACATAATGAAATTTTAAGTCTGACAATCTATATTAGTCAGCTATTATAAAAAATTATACAGGGTAACTGTATTGAATTTCTTTACAAAACACAGTTTTCAAGAGAAAAGGCTTTATAAGCTTTTTGTAAGAAAATAGACTGCCTATATGTAGCAGCATCAAATTTTATTTTAGCTCAGAGAATTTAACACGAGCTTTGTAAAAATGAGCCTCCCTTAAAAAAAAAAAGTCATCTCTTTATGGCAACATGTTTGTATCTCTACTAAAACAAACCAAAGCACTCAAGTAAAAGTTAGAAATCTAAACTTTAGTCACTGCTGTTCAGTAACATTCAGGGAGAACAACATAGTAGCATACAAATCTCACAAATAAAAACTCTTACATGGAATCATTTAGGCTGGAAAAGACCTTGAAGGACACCAAGTCCAACTGCTCACCAAGCACTGCCAGGTCCACCACTAAATCATATCCCCAGTCACCCCATCTACACATCTTTTAAATGCCTCCAGGGATGGTGCCTCAACCACTTCCCTGGGCAGCCTGTTCCTGTGCTTAACAATCCTTTTGGTGAAGAAATTTTTCCTAACATCCAATCTAAACCTCCCCTGGTGCAACTTGAGACCATTTTCTCTCGTTCTGTCAGTTGTTACTTGGGAGAAGAGATGAACCCCCATCTAGCCACAACCTCATTTCAAGTAGCTGTAGAGTGCAGTAAGGTGCTCCTCACACAACACGCTCTGGAGCCTCTTTGCCAGCTTTGCTGCCTTTCTCTGGACACGCTCCAGCACCTCAATGTCTTTTTTGCAGTGAGGCCCCTGGACACAGGATTCGAGGTGTGGCCTCACCAGCGCCAAGTACAGGGGGACAACCACTGCCCCAGTCCTGCTGACAACACCATTCCTGATCCAGGCCAGGATGCCGTTGGCCTTCTTGGCCACCTGGGCACACTGCTGGCTCATGTCCAGCCAGCTGCCCACCAGCACCCCCAGCTCCTTCTCTGCCAGGCAGCTCTCCAGCCACTCCTCCCCAGCCTGTAGCATTGCCTGGGGTTGTTGTGA